CGCTCTTCGGCGGCAGAGGTGATAAATTTGAGGAGCGGTTACAAGGCAGACGGTGGCTTTGCCCTCTTGTTTGTATTTTTTCATAGAAGCAGATGCTTGTGGCCCGCAGCATGCTTCTGGTTTACTTTGTGTGTCCAAAAAGACGCAGAAGTGCGGACGCTTGATCATTATCATTTGGTATTACTTTTCAAGAAGCCGTATACTGATCGATGTGCAGGGAATAAATGGTGTTGTCTGCAGGGTTTGCCTTGTATCATCTGCAAAGAAACGTTGACCAACTCATTGATGAGAATCCAATTAGCAGGAAAGAGAGGGATGGGAAAGGTGAGGGGGACGACAGAGCTGTCACACAGGAGGGATCTCCTCCCCTGTCAGCTGGCCCTACCTGGCAGGGTCACCTCGGCACCCGGTTGTTTCTTGTATAACCGGTCCAGGACAAGGTCCGGGTGCGCTGGACCCTGCCCGTGTGCCAGCTCCGCGGAAACAGAGCTGCGACGAAACTCGGTAAAAAGGCGAGGATGGCCAAAGCAGCACGAGCGTCGCACGGAGAGCACCCATCAGCAAAAATAACACGGGGATTGTCGCTCTGTGTTTTTCCCAGCCGTCTTGGCACGGCCGACGGTATCACAGGGCTTTGTTGTAGTTTGTCAGCTGGTGGATTGGAGAAACCTCTCCAGACTTGCTGGCTGCAGAGAGCGGGCAGCAGGCGCACGCAGCTACGGGTAATGAGGTTACACTGACAAACAACACGAGAAAAATGCCACTGAATTTGTACGGCGCGAAGGTGTTTTTCTGAGTGACCGACGCACTTTACGAATCCCCCTCCCTTTTTTCGCATTTCGCAGAACGCTCTCGTTCCGTGCGTCGTTCCTGCTTGCCTGGCCATTAGGGGATGTCTCGACTGTGTCCGTGCATGAGGAGCCAAGATTTGTTTTTACCTTTGTGAGGAAGCGAGTAGATGAACATCTGCTACGCAGTTATACATACTGTCTCACTCTATATATGTATGTACATATCTGTGTCGCTGCAGTGGATCCTTCAAGGATGCATTTTGACAGGTTTGGCCTGCAGAGATTCATGAGGCTGTCCAGAGATCGCTTACCTAAACCCTGCTTTTTGCAGCTAAATCTGGCTTTAGGGCAGGAAACCTGTCTGATTATCGGGGTGAAAATCCAGCGCGAGTGCAAAGGCCAGGGCGTAGGCACCGTGTCTAGGAAACTGCCAGTTACAAATAAACTGTTAATCAACTTAGACCGAGAGTCTCTTCGCTTATTCATTATCCAAACAGCGATAATATTAAAAAAAAAAAGAGAGGGGGGAGAAATCTCCCTAATGACGACTCTCGGTCGAAGTTGATGCGGGGTAGAACGTCCCGGTGTTATCGAGCACAAAGTTAATTGCCTTAATGGACGTGCACAAAACCCTCCTCTATTTAAGGCAACATCATCCCAAGTGCAGGAATTACCAGCTTTGTTGGACGAGAGGATGCCTGTGACGGTCTGATTCGGGTGTAGCACATGTTGGTTTTAAAAAGAAATACAATTCTGAGTCCTACCTAAAATAGTTGTTTAAATTATTAATACATGGCTTGCCAGGTCATTTCTGACAGAAAAATAGAGGCCGTGTGTCTTGTTTCCTCCATTCTTCTCCCGCTAAACCAAATATTGGAGTGCGTCCATCTCTTCGGGAAGGCTGTTCACAGCCTTGTGTCAACAGAAGGAGCGCAAGAGGTCGCTGGTTTTGCTGCCAGGTTGTTTTCTTACCACATCTTTGCAACTCTTGCACCGAGACGGGGAGGATTGCTGATTTATTGACGTGGTTTCAGCAGCGCGATTTGGCTGCGGTTCTTGTTGCAGAGGCCATGGTTTGCCACATAACGTTCCTTTGCGGAAGGGTGCTGCCACACCTTTGGAGCTGAGGTTGATCTGTGTGCTTTTTTTAAAAATCCCGTGACTGGGCCTTAACAACAACAACAACAACAACAACAAGGTGACCTGTGGATCAAGGGCAATCTTCGTCGTTCAGAATGCCAAAATCCCAAATTGGAGCAGGGGTTCGGGTTCTGTTTGTGCTTGAGGAGGCTGATCCTTTTCCATGGAGGAGGATGGGGGGGATGCCTGCGCTTGAGCACGGTTGCCCGTGGTTGTTTCGTGCTTGCAGATGACGAGTCCTTTTTTAAAAGGAACTGACTAAATGTTGTGTAACGCGCTTGCTAAACACCAGATTGAGCTCCCAGGGCAGCCAGGGAAATGGTGCTTGATGAACGATGGTTGCGTAGTAGATATCATAACTGCCGTTTCTGGCCATGGAAATCCATTTGGTAGGTTGAGTTGTCTGTATCTGGCTTTCCCTTCAGCTTTGGGTGAGATGTTAGAAACCTTTGGTGGGATGGAGGACAGGCGCCGTTACTGCCCGCTGTCACCGAACAAATCCTGCCCCGTTGCTCCACGAGTCAGGGCAGAGTCCTGCCACATGCGTCCTTTCGACAGCCCAACTTGGTTGGGCTTGGGTGCTGGGGGAACAGCTTTGGGCCCTGTTTGCTCCGTTACCGATGAGCAGGCTGGAGCGTCGGGACGGCTTCTAACTTCTGTTTGTTTGGTCCTATAGGTACGTGGGGAACCTGTCAAGAGATGTGACCGAAGCTCTAATCCTCCAGCTGTTCAGCCAGATCGGACCATGCAAAAACTGCAAAATGATAATGGATGTAAGAGCCTTCACCTCTTTGTGTTTCCGGCGGCTTTGGGACATACTTGCGCGTGTCAGGATTCCGATGGAAATATGGCATGACTGCGTGAAAGGGATGTAGTAAGGCTGAAGATGACAGTTGTGTACTTCTGGCATCATTTCTGCCTTGTGCCTGACGTTCAGTTGCACATGGGCACATATTGCGAGAGGGAGTGAACAGGTTTATATATGTGCAGGTGCTGAGATAAGAAAAGTTCCTCCTTGCCATACTTTTACCTTTCTGAGGCAGAACCGCAACCTCCTGGAGCACTGTTAGCACATTGACTGCAGTCTCAGCATAGAGTAAAAAGAGCCTGTCCCTTTTGAGACGTGTAGATGTGACGAATAAGGAGCTGAGTACAGGACTGAGGGCACAGTTCAAAGAGGTGTGTATCAGTAATCTGTTGTTTGCTGCTTTTCTCAGACAGCTGGAAACGATCCCTACTGTTTTGTGGAGTTCTATGAGCACCGGCACGCGGCTGCAGCACTGGCTGCTATGAATGGCCGGAAGATAATGGGTAAGGTAAGCTGTCATGTCTACAGGGTGAGTTGGAGTTGAAAAACAGGCACTCTCAGATGGCGCGGGTGAAATATCACTTGAGACGAAGCGGATACGCTGCAGATGTTAGGCACTTCGTTAGGACGGAGGCCTTAACGTGACACGGCCAACAAGAAAAGCTGTTTTGACTGTCGTGGGAAGGATGTGGAGGGCGATGGGGATGTAGAAGCGGGAGGGCTCAGAGACAGTGGGCATAAGGAATATTTTAGCTCTGCCAACCTCGTTGGGATAAGGTCTCTCTCTCCCCACCCCTGAAAAAAAAAAAACCAAACCCCTGCCTAACCAAACCAAACTGCCAGACCAGGTCTGTCTCCCGTCTTTGTGGAGCGCAGTTTGGCAGAACAACCTCTCTCCCCAGAAACGTGTCTTAACCTTGAGCTTTCACCCCAAACTTCCCCGTCTCGAGCCCCTGTAGTGTTAGAATTAAACGCTGGGGGTAGCTGAGCTCAGCTGGGGTTTGCTTGATCTAACGTGAGCGACTAACGTTTGCAGGAGGTCAAAGTGAACTGGGCGACGACCCCCAGCAGCCAGAAGAAAGACACCAGCAGTAAGTGTCGCTTACACTTTGAGTGCGTGCTTGGTCTGTATGCGTAGTTTTTAAACATAAACAGTAAGCATCGTGCAATTGTACGCAGTAATATTTTGATCGTAATCCTGAGATATTATTTAATGTGTTTGTGTTAAATACACTTAAGAACAAATCTAATCTTTGTCATCAGGTAGTACCGTTGTCAACACACAGCGTTTGCAAGGTAATTGTATCTTCTTAAACATAAAATGAAATCTCTCAAGGGTATTCGCTAACCACCTGAGGCTACGTGTGGGGTTTTTGTTCGTTACGAATTTATTTGATCTGGAAAGACTTCCCCTTTCATTTCCCTGTAGCATCGGAAAGTGAGCTAGCATCCACTGTTCAGTTCTGGTGCTCGTCTCCGGCTGTTTGCCGTGAGCGTGCTTGTAAAAAAAACCCACAAAGCCCTCGTCCTCTGCTGTCGAGGCAGAGCCGATGGCTCCCTGCGAGGCTGCAGTGTGCGCTCCTGCAGACCGGCTCCTTGGGAGGGTCTAGACTCATTCCAAAACTGGGCTCTGTCGCTCGTGGCGAGCCTACGGATCACTGCTGCTCTCGGCAAGCTTTGAATTTCTGTAGGCCAGGGGGGCAAAACTGCCCGAGGGGACTCGAGAGTTTCGTACCTGCCATAGTACAAATAAGTCTGTATATTGCTAGGTACGGGACGTAGCGTTTGATTGTAGCGGAAAACGCCTCAGGTACTGGACTTTTGTTTCTCTTTGGTGCGTGGTTTTGATGGCTCCGATATAAATTGCAGGGGTCACTGTTTCCATGCTGTTGCCTTCAGTCTTAGTTGACTTGCATATGGATTCACACACACTGAACGCACGTGGATTCACACGGTGTATTGGCTGGGCAGCCAAAACTGTTGGCTTTTGAGAACTGACATGCTTTAACAAGCAAACTCTTGCAATGCAAGGTATTTTTTTTTTTTATTATTTCTTCTTCACGTGGCGTTAAACCAGGCATCGTGGCTAGGTTCAAAATACGCCCCGCTCTAGCATGAGCCTTCTGCGTTTCTCGACGGTTCAGCGGATCAGCTTTTGAATAGCTAGCGATCCCCCGCCTGTCGAAGCTTGGCACTAGCGTACGGAGAGAAAGATTTTCGTGTAGCCTTGGCACATTCAGTAAACAGGTTAAGCCTGTGTACGGTAAACGCTGACTGGTCTTAAAAGCGGTTTGTCAAACACGAAACGTAAATGCCGTGTGTGTCACTGTAGCAGGCCGATGGCTCCCTGCGAGGCTGCAGTGTGCGCTCCTGCAGACCGGCTCCTTGGGAGGGTCTAGACTCATTCCAAAACTGGGCTCTGTCGCTCGTGGCGAGCCTACGGATCACTGCTGCTCTCGGCAAGCTTTGAATTTCTGTAGGCCAGGGGGGCAAAACTGCCCGAGGGGACTCGAGAGTTTCGTACCTGCCGTAGTACAAATAAGTCTGTATATTGCTAGGTACGGGACGTAGCGTTTGATTGTAGCGGAAAACGCCTCAGGTACTGGACTTTTGTTTCTCTTTGGTGCGTGGTTTTGATGGCTCCGATATAAATTGCAGGGGTCACTGTTTCCATGCTGTTGCCTTCAGTCTTAGTTGACTTGCATATGGATTCACACACACTGAACGCACGTGGATTCACACGGTGTATTGGCTGGGCAGCCAAAACTGTTGGCTTTTGAGAACTGACATGCTTTAACAAGCAAACTCTTGCAATGCAAGGTATTTTTTTTTTTTTATTATTTCTTCTTCACGTGGCGTTAAACCAGGCATCGTGGCTAGGTTCAAAATACGCCCCGCTCTAGCATGAGCCTTCTGCGTTTCTCGACGGTTCAGCGGATCAGCTTTTGAATAGCTAGCGATCCCCCGCCTGTCGAAGCTTGGCACTAGCGTACGGAGAGAAAGATTTTCGTGTAGCCTTGGCACATTCAGTAAACAGGTTAAGCCTGTGTACGGTAAACGCTGACTGGTCTTAAAAGCGGTTTGTCAAACACGAAACGTAAATGCCGTGTGTGTCACTGTAGCATCCTTAAAATCACTGACTGTGTAGCGCTGCCAAGCGAAGGATCTGTCACGAACAGCAGTGAACGCTAGTTGTCATCATGTAGTTTTTAACAATAGCTGGAAGGCCGTGCTACGTGAGATTGCTACGCTCTGCGCGCGCGCGTTCAGGGGTCGCCGTCAAACATTCAGATCCTTTTTTTTCTCTTTTTCCCAACAAGACCATTTCCACGTCTTTGTCGGAGACCTCAGTCCAGAAATTACAACAGAAGACATAAAAGCAGCTTTTGCGCCATTTGGAAGAATATCGTAAGTAATTTCCTAGGGCAAATAAACTAAAAGTTAATCTCTCCTAAATGGAGGCAGCCTTATGTTTCAGTAAGTAAAAAGCGAGAGCTGTCGCAGTGCAGGAATACACGTTCATCTGTTCATACAGCGACTCGAGTGTGAGCGGTCGGGCGTTAAGCAGGGGTGTGTAACCCACTTCCCGTACAGTAGTTTGTTCTGCATTCCTAGAAAAGTTGCATCCAACTTGCTTTGGTTTTGCCTCGTTTGGCAAAGCAACGCTGGAAAAAACTGACCCCTAACCCTGGGGTTTGCATTTCACTGGCCCTCTCAGCGATCACCATCACGCTGTAGAGTTTGTGACCGAGTCCGTTTGCACGTCCACGTCTTGTGAGGCTTTGGATTTTTTGTTAGCCGTGGCGTGCCGGCAGCCAACGGTTTTTGGTTTGGTTTTTTTGTGGTGTTTTTTTTTTTTTTTACAGTTAAATTGCCATTTCCCACAAACCGAACCTTTTTTAGCGTGAGGGCCCCTGGAGGCTGCAGCTAGGGCGGCCTCGAAGCATTTGGCGCCGGGGCAGCGTTAAGGCCTTGGCCCGAAGGGCTCGGCCAGAACCACAGGGCATCTCGGGTCAAGGAGTCGCGCTCATCCCAACGGTGCAGAGCCGGTGGCATAACAAGCAAACGCGTTACAAAGGGGGAACGGTGTTGGCAGGTCTCCCCCTGCCAGTTTTGTTGTATTCAGGGTGTAGCAGAGTAAGGAGTGGTTCGTTCATTCCATCCTCCAAACGTAAACCATTAATTTTCCTTGTAGTGTTGTCTGTACTGGACATTGAAGTTTCTTGATGGTGATGTAAGAGAACATAGAGTGCTTTGGAGTATTGGGTAGTGAAGCGTTTAATTGAAGTAAGTTTGTTTTTTGTTTTTTTTTTCCCCCTCAGAGTCCAGTGTATTACTCTTTTAATGCCAGCTTGATTTCCTCTTGTGATAAGGTTTTAAAAAAATATATCTATATCTTTATCTATATATGCGATCTGAATGTGACTTGCTTCAGACAACTATAATGCTTGACTGCATCTTTTGTAATTGTCATCTAGGAAACTCAGAGGGTCGGACTCCTAAGGAGAGTCAATTTATCCTCTGGCCAAATGCGGTCTGGATGGAAGGGACTCTAAAGTAGATCTGAACTGCTGGAACGAGTGCGACAGGGAGGCAGTAGTAGACAGCCGCGGTGGTGGGGCTGCTGCGAAAGAGAGTTTCCACTAGCTGAGTCAGCGCTGGGTTTCTGAGCAAAAAAAAAGCGAACCCCCCTCCTGAGCCTGAAGCAAAAAGTTACGTCCAAATGTCAGCTGGGGGAGCGTAAAACCGCAGCGAACGTCGCTCCGTGCTCCCTGTTTCCGGGGCTGTGCCCGTTGTCCCGTCTTTTCCAGAAGAGCTTTTTGGACGCGGAGCTGTTGCTGCGTGGTGGTGGTGACGGGGACGCTCTTGCTTTTGGGGTGCTCGCCGCCCAGCTGTAGAGCTAACGCATGGAAAATTCGCGGTTTGCCCTGGCTCAAGCTGACTGTCCTGAACGAAACGCAGTTCTTTTCCTTCCACTGAAGTAGTAGATTAAGAATTGTCCCCCAATGACTCTTTTGAACTCTTGTTCCGAGACCGAGGGGTTAAATAAAGCCGAAGGGACCTAAATTTTCTCCGTGTTTAAATTTAACCTGGAAAAATATTGCTACTGTCTCTGAAGTCGAATGAACTTACTTGACTTTACCTGTTCTTCATCAGCAACTGGTTTCTGGAAATGGGGCACTAACGGAATATTTCCTGATGATTAATTTTTTAATTTTTTTTTTTCTAACATTGCCTTCGTTGGTGCTAAACTGAGCTTTTTTTTTTTATTATTTTATTTTATTTTTTTTTTATTTTTACAACACCGAGGTTGACCTACTGCATGATAAGCCCATAAGAAATTTTGGTAATTCTTTGCATCTGGATTTTTGAATCACTGTAAAAGCACACTTTCATTGTGGTTTCCTTTTATGCTTGCTGTATGCATGTTTTCACTTGTTCTCAAGTCTTTATTTTCAAAGTTTTCAGTTGAGGGTAAGTAGCGTTGAGTTTTTCCCCCCCTCCCTCTATAGGCTCCTCAGAGCAAACCGATCCAAGCTTCCCAAAGTGGCTCTTCTCAGGCAATTTGTAACATATGACCCAAAATCTGACCTAACCCAGGAAAGGGGGGAAGAAAAAAGGGGGGGGTGGAGGGGGGAGCTGTCTTTTGCAATGAGGAAAGAAGTAACAGTCCTGCTGTAGCCTGGGGAGAGGTATTTTCCTCGGGCCTTCAGCCATGGCATCAGCGCTAGGGGCTAACATCTGCCCGAATTAGGCTAACGCTGCAGCATTTGCAGGCACTGTATGGCTTAAAAACCAAAAAAAAAGCCCAAAAAACCTCCCCCTGGTGTAACAAACCTTCTCTTCACTGTGACTTTTCTCGCCAGTCTCGGAATGCTAAATGTTGTGCACATGTTAACGCTAGTTTCTCCAAAACCCTGTTATTTTATGCAGCCCCTCAGTTACGTTGCATGACTTTCTGACTGGTTTGATGTTGTTGTTTCTGTTCTTTTAATGCCTGTATGTGTGGGGCGAAGGAGGGGAGGAGAGGGTGGCCTGGAGCGTCTCGAACCCCTCGGCTAACTTGGACGCAAATTGCCTGAGAAACGCTGTAGAACGGCGTTCCACGAGTGGGGTTTAGCGCTTGTAGCTGGGTTCTCTTCTTAACGCAATCTCAAATAATAGGGCTCTGGTTATTTTGCAGAGTGTCTCTGAAGAATGGACAGAATTGCCATGGCTAACTACAAGCTACAGTTCACAGTGGACAAACGTTGTAGTTTTCTTATTTACTTTTATAAAGTTTTTTTTCTTTTTCTTTTTCTTTTTTTTTTTTTTTTTTTTACTTTTTATATCTTGTAGTTTCCAATCAGTCCTGTATGATTGCTGTTGTACAAATGCCGTTTAAATGATGTGTAATATGTCGTTTAAGACGCGAATGTTTTGGTGTTTTCTTCAATAATTTCTGAAAATGTCAATCTCTCAAAATTTACAGCTGCCCACAGTCCAAAAAGGGGGTAACGAATTGACCCGAGAAAATTAAAGAATTCGGTTAACAGGCGACGTATGCCTTTTAATTCCTATCTTTTTTTTTTCATTTTTTCTCTTTAATATTCTGAATGAGTAGGTAGAATGTGTTGGCAAATAGCGAGTTTAAAAATTGCATGGTTGAAGAGAGCCATTCGGCTAACGTTAGTCAGCTCCGTGCCTTAAGTGATTCTTTTGAATAGCTGCTTTGACCATGCTTTGTGTCTTAACAGTCTGTAAAAGCATTTTGAAGCGGGAGCCAGCTGTCGTAAAAGTACATACGTTTGTTAGAGAAGCTATCGATTTGCATGTTTACACGATTTAAGTTTAATTTTGCTACTACCTGGCAAAGCCTTAGTAAAGTTCTGTTTAGAAAAGAAGCCTTTTGCTTTGACTGTGTTGCTGGTGCAATAAACAGTTTGACGTTAGTCGAGGTGAAACGTGAAAATGAGCTGTACGTGTGACTCAAGTTGTCGTTTGCGGACGGCCGTCTTTCGAAGGCGCTAAACTGCCTCTCGTTTCTGCTTTCTAGAGACGCGCGGGTGGTTAAGGACATGGCGACGGGAAAATCGAAAGGATACGGCTTCGTTTCCTTCTTCAATAAATGGGTAAGCCGCGGCACCGGCTCCGAAAAGCGGACGGGGAAGGAGCGCCGCCGGTCCCCATCTCCGTCCGCCTTCGGTTTCCCCGCCTGGAGAGGGGGAAGCATTTTTGTCGAGGCGCTCCGCTGTAGCGTTCCTCAAGCACGTGGCAAGCGACCGAGCGAGGCACGGACGTGACGGGGAGCCACCGTACCCCCGGCCCGTGTCGCCGGGGTCTCAGATGCGCTCGGCGAGGCCTAGCGCCGTCCTTCGCCCTGCCTGAAAGCGCTTCTCGTGGAGCGGCGTGGGTGCGCGGCGACGTGGCTGGTTTGGCTCTGTTGTGAAAGGACGAGACGCCGACGGCGGGATTTTCTCCTCTTCCTCTCTTGGCCGACAGGATGCAGAGAACGCGATTCAGCAGATGGGCGGTCAGTGGCTCGGTGGAAGGCAAATCAGAACAAACTGGGCGACGAGAAAACCTCCGGCTCCGAAGAGCACGTACGAATGTAGGTTCTGGGCGATTCGCGTCTTTGCAAACCTCCCGCCGCAGCCGTGAGGAGGAAGAGTGAAGGGAGGAAGGAAAGCAGCTTCCTTTAGCTACAGCGCCTGTATTGCCGCTGCGGCGGGGGGCTCCCCTTGCCTTCTGCGCGCTCGGGCTGCTTTCCCTCAGACAGCCAGGACGACTCTGGCGTTGTAACTTTGCTCCCTCACTTTTAGGGCTTTGCATTGCAGCAGCCGCGCCAGAGCCTTTCCCTTGGGAGAGATTTTTAAATTAGGGACATCGGACCTCCTTGATAGGCATCGCGACGTCTCGTGCCCGTCGGGGTTAGAACTTCTACCTAACGTGTGTCTTGAGCCACTGAAAAACTCTGTAAAAAAAAAAATCTCTTTCAGCAAACGCCAAACAACTCTCTTACGATGACGTGGTCAATCAGTCCAGCCCGAGCAACTGCACCGTGTACTGTGGCGGCGTTACGTCGGGACTGACAGGTATCATGGCCGCAAACCCCCGCCCCCATCGCCTCGGATGTCGTCGACTTAACGCGGCAGTCGCCCCATTTTGATGCTCTCTTTTCTTCCTGCTTCAGAACAGCTAATGCGCCAGACCTTCTCCCCCTTCGGGCAGATAATGGAAATCCGAGTCTTCCCCGATAAAGGCTACTCCTTCGTACGGTAGGCTGGCACCCACTGATGAATTGAATCAAGAATTACGGGTTGGCGTGCTTGTGGTGTCAGCGGGGTGGGGGGGCACACGCCAAGCTGGAGCCCAACCTGAGGAGTTGGGAGTTCGAGTTACGGCTTGTGGGGGTCATGGCACGGGTGGAAAAAACCCTTTAACCCCCTCCCAAGCGGCGCGGTGCCCTTCCTCCTGAGAGAGCGCCCTCCGTTCCTCAGGGTAGGGGTACCCAGGCAGGCGGGGCCATTTCCAGAAGCATCCTCATCTCTTTGTGGACAAAGCCCCAGATAACAAACAAAAAAAATAAAATCAGTGTACATTGGCTTGCTCGCCTTGGCGCCGAATTTCCCCGGTTGTTAGGGAGAGTTACACCACCGGGACAGGAAAAACGACGGTAGCGTGGCCCGCAGTGCCAGGATTTCTCCCAAATCCACACTGGGGTCTCTTGGGGTGGGGTGGGGGGTTACTCACCAAGCGAATTATTTATATTGCCGCGACTGGCGTCCCCGCAGGTTTAACTCTCACGAGAGCGCCGCGCACGCCATCGTTTCCGTCAACGGAACGACTATAGAAGGACACGTCGTGAAGTGCTACTGGGGCAAGGAGACGCCAGACATGATCAGTCCGGTCCAGCAGGTCAGAACTTCTCCTCCTCTGCTAAAGGCGACGGCTCGCCTCGTTAGTCTTTGCTAGAAACCCGTTAAGTTGGCCGTAAAGTTTGCGCGCGTGCCAGTCGGAAGACGCGGCGTAGCACACGTCGCCTGCGCTACGGCGTATTTCATCAGACCGAAGTACGGTCAAAAGATTTCCAATCCCTGGGAAACATCCGGATTCTTGTGACGGAAAAACGCGTGCTGTAAAATTCTGGAGAAAGCTCCCAAAAATAACGGGTCTCCCCGATAATTTGCCGGGGCGCTCTGGTAATTAACCCCTCACTAACTCAACCCGCGGCGCCTGGTGGAACGGCGGCGTGGCTGTTACGGCAGCGTTTGAGCGAGTGGGCTCTGGAGAAGGGACTTGGGCGGGCGGGTTTTGCTTGGTGAGTTGACCAAAATCGCCGCTTTCTCAGGTTTAACGACCCCGCTGGGGGGGGTGTTGCCGTTGCAGAACCAGCTGGGCTACCCGCCGGCGTACGGGCAGTGGGGCCAGTGGTACGGCAGCGCCCAGATCGGGCAGTACGTGCCCAACGGCTGGCAGGTCCCCGCCTACGGGATGTACGGGCAAGCGTGGAATCAGCAGGGCTTTAAGTGAGTATTTGGGCTTTTGGTGCCTTTTTTTGGTTGGGTTTTGGGGGGGGGTTTCCCCCAGGCGGAGGTGACAAATCTGGTGTAAAAGTTGCCGGGCGTTCCGCTCCATGGTTCCCATAGGAGATTGGGGGTGAGGAGTGGCTCCAGGGCGGCCCCGCTTGGGCACCCCCTTCTCCCTCAACTCCCCGTCTCGTTACCGCCGCCTAACGAACCGGTTGTGGGTTTTGTTTTTTTCTTTTCCCTCCTTACCCCTGCCCTGGCAGCCAGACGCAGTCTTCGGCATGGATGGGCGGCGCCGGTTACGGCGTGCAGCCGCCGCAGGGGCAGAACGGGAGCGTGATCACCAACCAGACGGGATACCGGGTGGCCGGCTTCGACGCGCCCTGAGGAGGAGAGGACTGGGAAACCGGCGGGCCGGGAGGCGCCGGGATCGGTCAGCTCGAGCGTCGGATACGGTGTATTTATTTAAAAAAAAAAAAAAAAAAAGAAA